TTAACCATCAATATCATCAATTTTAATTCTTCATAATTAAAAATTATAAAAGTTATATAATATGATAATACTTAATGAAATGATTCTAACAAGATCCCACATGATTATGTTTTTCCTTACTTTTAATTCACAAAAGGTGATCAAAGGAGGAGTGGTGAATAGTGTAAAAGTCAAAGCGGGTCAAGTAAAAAAGAACGGAGGAAGTATATAGGAAAATGAAATAACCATACCGCTTGATCGATCCAAACACCGAAGGTGGCAACCTCCATGATACCTTTAAAAGTCATGATAAAACCCAAAGGCACAGCATCTTCAAGTGACATACCTACAACCATAGACGAAAAGGCCGTACCTAAGAACTTGCCAAGCTGACTAACAATGAATATGATCTCGACGGCCCAAAAGGAGGAAGTTCCTTTCCATGACGTCAAATTAATCCTCCAACCTGCCATGGTACAGAAGAGTGGAAGCAGTACTCCTGAAGTAAAAAGCTGAAGCTTTTGGACCAATGCTGAGCCCAATGGGGGCCCATGAGGCAATGAAAGCCCAAACAAGAAGGCTGAAAATCTTTGGCCCACTCTTTCACCCCAATGGAAGGTAAACATTACAATCCCTAAGATTAACAAGAAATGAGTTTGTTTCATGTCACAACCTTCAGGAGTTCTCCTTACAATGCACATTACCATGGGCCGAAAGACGCCGAACAACACGAAATAATAGAAGGTCAAGCTTGCTGCGGATAGCCATTTAGGGGGTGCATCCGGATTTGGGCTCAACCAAATGAGTCCAAATGTGGTGGTTAAGAGTCCAAATATATCGATCACCAACGACGAGGAGCAGGCTATTCGGCCCACCTCGGAGTTGATGATCTTAAGGTCATGAAGGTAGTAACTTGTTACCATAAAGTATGTTAGTGAATTGAAGAGGATTAAAACTCGAATGCCTGTGAATAGGGTTTCATCAAGTTCAACGACTTGTCGAATCAATGTAAAGGCCACTGATCCGAAGATGATGGATATTAGCACGCCTGAAAATGCTATGAGTATCGATTTAGGCCCGCTTTTCCTAATCGCGCTCATGTCAATCATGACTCCTGATATGAACATTTGAAGCATGAATCCGAATCCTGCCATTGTCTTGATAATGTATCTTCCAGGAGGTGGGAACAAGGTGTTGATGATAGACTGATTATAGTTAATTAATGTTCGGCCTATAAATAATCCGGCCTGAAACAAACAAAACATAACATTTAGAGTAATAACAACGTATATAGTATCGTATGATGATTTGTATCGCATTATTCATTTATATACTCGAAATAATTTTTATAAATTATGAACCGGGGTGTCACGAACATGTTTCCCTCCTATTAACACATACAAGTATTCGTGCACGGTGCACCCAACTCTTATGTTTAGAATGTGAAGGCAGCACCAATTGTACGTGTGTACATACATGTACGTACGTACGTGTGCTGTGCCTTGGCCTGGCCTATATTCACATTCGACATTTCGACGGTGATAGAGTAACATTGGAATATACATAGTATGATCCGAAGTAATATAGAAATAATGCATTATAAAATGATGGTAAATAAAAAGAAAGGCTTACAACAATCTGGACGACAGTCATACTTTGGCGCAGGGGTTGTAAAAGGAAAAAAACGGTCCGTGTGACGAAAAAAATGATGATAATTTGGAGCAAAACTAATGGTGTGGGATAACTCAGAGGATTTTCTCCATACCAAACACCATTCGATGTTCCTGACCTTTGATATTGGCATATCAGTCTATCCTTGAATACCATTCCCATTGCCCACCATTGTTTTGGATACGCGTCGTCACCGTGCACGTCCATTTTTCTTCTTCTGTATGACCTTAATTAATCTTCTAAACACTACTATATTGTTCTTTACTAGATGTATGTACTAATTATGATTGAAACATTGAATATAACTAATAATCATAGTTAACGAACGATACATTTGACATAATGAACAAGATGGAGAAGGACGAATACTATTGTAATTATATTGCCTAAGTAGAGAAAATAGATGGAGGGAAAAGAAAAAAGAGTCAAAATAAAGATGGTGAAGAAAAATATAATTGGTGATATTTGATCAAAAATATGAAAAGAGATGTTGAGGAACAAAATATGAGGGATTGGACTAGATTTTCTCCTTAAAATTAGTGACCTTAATATTATTTAACCACTGAGAAAATTAAGTTTATGTAAGGGTCTTCTAATAATGTAAATCCTTCATCTTCGGTGCTCCCTTTGTTAATGACCTCAAATGTACAATTAACACTTACAGGCTTATAGCATACATATATACCAAAGAATAATCAAAGATCATAAACCATGTTATAGGTTGGTGTTTTGGATTAATTGTACCCTTTTTTTTGTTAAATGGGTTTACCCAACCCTTAGTAACAACTTACAAGCCAATTGCATTGTCAATAGGGAGGGCATTCATATAACCTAAGTGGATAGCCACTGGACTTTCCTTTGTTTCTTAATACATACAACATTTTTTTAATGACCTATATATCAATGTACTAATATGAACATTAATTAATATCTATTAATTAAAAATATTATAACAAATTTTTAACCTGACTTGATTGGTTGAGAATAGAGTTGGCAATTAAATATAATAAATTTAATAAATAAGAAGTAGGGTTTGATAATTTATGTTGATGATATAGTTTTCAATAAATCTATATGAGTAGTGTAAATATTCGTCCGTCTTCCTATGGTGGAGTCGTTAGTTTTTGTTAGTTTTGTTGTTTGTTTTTGTTTATTTTATTTTATTTTTATTTTTATTTTTATTTTGTGTGTTAGGGTTTATTAAAAAGACAATCATCTTTTGCCCTATTATCAGTTCGTTGGCAAAGAGTTGTCCGCGATCGCAACGGTTATCAAATCTTCAAAGACGTTCAAGTGAATCAAATGAAAATAAATCATCCTTACAGCTACAACAAATCGTTAGACCGTTTCTCTGAAAAGGCTGTATATTCCAGTGATGTGTGCGAGAGATGTACCATTGCGCAAGATCTACTCAACGATCGTAACTTTGATGAAGGAAACCCTTATTTGATTCAACTTTATGTATTTGTTGATTTAGATTTCATTTGTAGATGTCGTATGACTTTTGATTAATGAATTGATTTGTTTAAAAAAAAATAAAAAATTTAATGTTGATAATTTAGTTAATTTGAATTGAATAATTCAATAAATTCAATGCCTATTATATGGTTAATAATGTAATACATTAATAAAAGATAATAAATTAAGAAAGTGAATATAAATGTTTTGGAATAATAAAAATTTATTATTTTTTTATTAACAATTAATTTTTATTGACCTGAATCCACTTGTAAACTGCTAGCTCCACCGTACTAATTGGTACAAATTTCTGTCATGTTATGTTCACCTTTTTTCACTTAGTAGCTAAAATAAGGGTGTAAACTATTCAACTATATTTTACTTCTCAGAACTTATTTTATCTTATCTTAATTTAATAAAATTTATTTTTAGTTGTAATTTCAACTTGGATAACCGTTATCAAACCTTATTATTCTAGAACTTATTTTATCTGAACTTAACCGATCATAAAGTTCTGATAAGTTTAGATAAATGAAAATTAAGTAAATAAAACACACTAAAAAAAACCTATAAAAGACATTTGTATGTGATCTTGCATTTGTGATTTACTTCCATCTTTGAAGGATATTTTCCTAAATTAAATATAACATTCCTTATACTTAGAGTATTGGATTAACTTTTTGGATATCTTATCCAAACCATTTAAAGCTAAAATATATGTTAATCAATTATTCGATCCAAGAAACCATAACAGATGATGAGAAAATAAATAACACAAAGTATTAGGTGAATTATTTGTTTCCCGTGAGTCCACCCACCTAATATATAAAATTTTAAAAATTGATATGTATTTCAAGTAACTTATATATGAAATTTTCAAGAACTTGTATGAAATGTCTAAATTTATTTCAAAATCGAGATGTTTAAATGTTTATATAAAATGTCTCGTAACTTATATTCATCGATCTTACCATAAGTCTGAGCTTATACAATATTTTCTCAATAAATACGGAGTAAAGCTTATCTATATATTTAAATACAACTTACTATAATTTAAATGAGTTTATTAATGCTTCTACATAGAATGAGCTTAATATATATAAACTTATTACATTATTTTAGTTGCATAAATCTTGGGTAACCTTCTTTGTTTTTTTAATTTTTTAAGCTTAACTCAATTTTTTTGAAACTCATTTATGTTGAACAAGTGAAAATAATGTGAACAAAACATAGTCTTATGCAATAAATGTAAAATTAAAAGTATCCTAATCATAACATAAGAAATTAATAAGTAATCAAAATGGATTATTTTCACAACTGATTCACATTTTAATGTACATATGTCGTATGGTAATGTTAATAATTCATGTTTCCAAAAAATAATTATAAAAAGTAACATATATCAATAATTAACCTCTTATTTTATTTTACAACAATAAAGCCTTAATTTCAAAATGATTTGGGGTCAATTAACATGAATTGTAAGAAGGATTCCTCTTTTCTTCTAATTTTAATAAATTTAATAATTAATAGTATCAAGTTGGACTCACTAGAGGAGGGGAGATCACATTGATCATCACTCTTTTTCCAATATATAATGCAAAATTGTTAATGTTCAACTTTTATTAATAATTCTGACCTTAAAAAATCACTTATTTCCTTATAATATAGATATCACACCTCACGTGATGCTCCTCCTCATTTTACTAGACCACACGTGTGTTTTGCATTGCTCACGTATTGATGTTGTCGACTGTGCTTATAAAGACCACCATCTGAAATCTCTTCTATGAATCATCTTTAATTTGTCTAAATAGAGATTATAATCTTATAATTCCAGTCTAATATACACATATCATTTTAATTAAACTCTTGATTCTTGTAATAAGAAAATGGCAGGACCACCTTTTGCACCAAGCACTTCATCAGCAATTCCGAATGGCGCTGAGCTGGCTAGGCTCTTGCCGGGCTATGCTTTGGATGGAACCATTGGCTCTGGCGCGACTAGTGTAGTGAAGAAAGCGAGACATGTTAGGACTGGACAAGTAGTAGCCATTAAGATCATCTCCATAAGGGATAAAATGTCTGAAAATCTAGGTGATGTTTTTTTTCTTTTTTTTTTTTGAAACAATAATTTAGGTGATTAAATATGCTGTGATCCTGCTTTGTTTGTTAAACAAGATTCAATTTTTTTTTTTTGTTTTTTTTTTTTTTTTTTTTTGTGTGTGCGCGCGCGCGCTTTTGATGTGTTTTTGTTACATCACTCTAAAGGAATTTAATATATTTGTCGTAATTTAGATGTTAGCAAGCAAATTAATATATTAGTCATGATGAATTTATAGATTTTCTTTGTCCCTCATTAATTTTGATTTGATTGTATGAATAAGAGGCCTTAAGGTAGTCATTTGACTTTAAAATGGGTGATTTCTGATATGTTATTGTTACATCATTCTGGGGTTTAAGAGACCGATGAACTTTTGTTCTAATTTTTTTTTTTTTTTATCCATGTAGTGAAAAAGGAAGTTACAATACTGAAGATGCTAGTCGAAAGTCCTCAAATAATTCGACTATATGATGTTGTATACACCGAGGATTATGCATGTCTCGTGCTTGATTATGCACCAAATGGGGATTTCTTAAGTTATGTCACTGTAAGGACCAAGATGTCAGAGGCCGAAGCAAGGCCATATTTCCTTCAGGTACAAATCAGACTGTACGACATAGATTCATCCTCTGAAAACATTCTATAGTATTTTATTTTTTTATTTTTTGATACTAGTATGATTTAGTTCTCTTCTGTCCGGAAACAGCTGATATCAGGGGTGGAGTACCTGCATCAGAAGATGGTTGCACACCGTGACCTGAAGCTAGAAAATCTTCTTATTGATGGAAATTTCAATCTGAAGATATCGGATTTTGGTTTGAGTGCTATAATGAACAATAGCTATTTGCTGAAACAAAGCTGTGGAAGCCCACATTACGCTGCTCCTGAGGTCTGATAACTTCCTGTACTAGATTATTATGTTTTAATGTATAATCTAATGCCTGTTGGAAGCTGAATTTTTTCATTATATATTCGTGTTCAATATTTTCTCAGACATTATCTGCAGGACTTTTCTTAGATCTGTTAAGAAAAATGGAGTTATTTCACTTATGAGAAAGTGATGATCTGTAGCTTTGTAAAATTTTATAGAATTTATACCTGCTTTTGTTATAATACGTGTTTGAGTTGCTGATGGGAAAATCTATACTTCTTTGATGTAGATTTTTTCGAATAAACCATACTATGGTACACAAGTAGATGCCTGGAGCTGTGGCATCATCTTATATGCCATCGTCTGTGGCTCATTCCCATTTGAGGATGTGGAACCTGATGGCCTTTACGACAAAATCAAGGTATTTGTAATTTGACTTGATGTTATAATCCTGATTTCTGATGGAACTATATACTTCGTATCATCTAGCCATCGATCTTAATCTACTTACAACAGAAGTTTGTCATATATATATAATCTTGGTACAAGTATAATAATGTTAGCTAAACCATATATTGAAACATTGAAAGAGGATTCATCTTGTATGCTCATTTTCTTTTAAAAGCAACCTATCAAAAATTTCTATTGAAGTTATATTATGAATATAATTATTATTTTCTTCTGTACAATATAATTAAATTCAGAGTAGTTCTATTCAGTGAAAGAATTTCAGCTGTAAGTTAAAAGGTTCATTATAGTAATCAATGATTCTCAGCAGATTGTATATCGCAATTATATTAAATTATGCCTGATTGGATTTTCCTGGTGTATGATAATTGTGTCCTAATTTTATGTGATCTACTTATACATCACAGCTCTACTATTGCTGACATATTTCATGGTTTGTGCAGAGTGGGCAGTTTGAATTTCCTGACATGTACTTATCAGCTGAATTCCGTGACCTGGTTGCTGGAATGCTCACTGTTTGTCCTCTGAATCGAATGACTATCTCCAAGATACGTCAGCACCCCTGGGTTCTTGCTTAGCTACCTCAGTATTAATACCGAGACTCATCTATGTCCAATGTATTGGAAACAATATATGTTTCATTAAAGCTATGTGTCATGTGTATTGTCCTGTAATCTGCATTATGGATTTTTTAAAAATGTCTTGGCCTATATCCTTTTATTTATGGGAAATTCTATGAAACAATTATAAAATTATCTTTGAATGGAATAAAGTTTCTATTATGGAATATGTATGAGCAATATGATCGTGTATGTGTTTTTTTTCAATGTGTGTATAAAATGTGTATGAAGGGATCTAATCATGCAAGATCGCGAAATACTGGCTGAAGAAAAGAATCTACAGATTACGTGTTTTCTGGGATGGAAAAAGTATACCGTAATAACAGAACATAATAAAAGGTTTGATCTCGATCAAATTTTGTTTCCTACTATTAGTAGATTACCAAAAGCTTCAAGTATTTACAAACTTCAAGTATATAGTCATTAAACAAGTTTCTGATCTAAGCACTTGTCCTAACAAAATCTTATGCTTACCAGAGAACAAAAGTGGTAAGAAAAGGGAAGGAAGGAACCTACAAATCAATTCTTCTCAGATGTGTGGACTCCTCAGGGTCATGCAGACCCCAAACTCTAGTTTGCTGTTGCACCACCATTATTGAAGCCTTGATTTTGTAATTCAAAGTGAGCATTTCTCCAACCGGTCCCAACTCCCCAGTGCAGTCACTCCACTGTAAAAGTTCAGACATGAACTTTGAGTTCTTATGACGTCTTCCTACCAAAATCAGATCGTAATTAGAATTCTCTAGTGATTTTATCAGAGTTGCCAAACTCATCACATTTATTAGTATCATCTCTTCATAAAAGGTTCTATCTTCCTTGTGCAAAGTGTTGAGACTAAATTCACTTAGTATGTCACCATCTTGCAACCTGCTTTTCTCACTGTCAATAATCATGTCTTCAGAAGAGGCGCTTGAAAATTTTATCAGGGTCAGGTTTACTCTGGGATTCTCTGACATTCTCATGCCATATGCTAGTGCTTCTCGATCATCCTGACCCCCGAAAAATAACACTGCCACCCGGAATATTGCAGGCTTTGATGTATATGACAGATTTTTCTTAGTCTTTTGTGATCCTCCATGGTCAACAAGGACACCAACTGAGCAAGGAGCCTTGTCAAGAACTTTCTTGTTAAGGTTCCTGTAAACAAAAGAGGGCTCTATATCTTTTTCGCTACATTTCCTTTGGAAAGGGATTATAATAAATGATGTCCTCTTTTCTAAGGCAATGGAACACACGTCATTGTGCATAGATGCATAGGGGGAGATACCCTTGAAACACTGCACCATGAAAAGCCCTTGGTGTACTTGCTCCAACTTTCTGAACGCATTGAAAATCCTCTCAGATTGGCTTGGGTAAGTAGAGTATGATTCCCTAGGTTGATGAGCAACAAGTAGGGAAGAGGAGCGGCCTATTAGCCTGATAAGATGCATGACAGTTAAGTTTATGGGACTCGCTTTGGTGGGACTAGAGACATTCACCACATTCATGACCTCCCTAACATTATCTGCACTATGGACACAGGCCAAAATGCGGAGCTCCTCATCGCGTTTATGGTGTCTTATGGTTCTCCTCTTAAATGCCACATACCTCCTTGAAGGATCATACATCGCCTTTACAATAGGCGACAGAACTCCTGTGATGAACACCACAGATATGATCATAATTGCAAAGCATTCCTCAGTCATGCCCTGCAAAAGTAGCAAATTTGTGCCTATTGCATTTTCAGGACCCAAACTATTGAACACATCATACTTTGTTACAGTGCATATTTTAGTGAGAATCTTTTACTGACAGTTTTTAGAATGAAGAGGTGGTTCAGGAAAAATAAGACATGATAAGTTCGAATAATAAGATAACATTAATAATTTTCAGATGAAAAGAATGTAGCCTTACACTGTCCTTCATTCTGTGATTCAGCAATACCAACTCAATGAGGCCTTTTGCATTCATGATCAGACTTAAAGAAAGGGCATCCCGAAATGGCATTCTGTAAAAGAGCGGAGGTGCAATCGTACCTACAACCTTCCCAATAAAGGCAACAAATACCACCAACTGAATAGCACCGACATTCTTCAGCTTCTGAATAGCAAAAACATCCATTTGTAGGCCACAAATGGCGAAGAAGATGGGCATTAGAAGCACAGAGACGAAAGAGTCAAGCTTTTCAGATAAAGCAGCTCCTAAAGGGGGTCCATCCGGTATGACAAGTCCAACAATGAAGGAAGCTATAACAGCACTAAGGCCAATAACTTCACCTATAAAACCACATCCTAGAAGAGCAAGAAGAACACCAATAATATACTTTTCTTTAACAGGCTGCCCTTCAGGTGTTTTCCTGATCGCCCATAAAGCTGCAGGGCGGATTCCATACAAGGCTAAAACAATAAAAAGGGCTACTGATAGAAAAGATCCTACAGATGATGAGAATGATTTTGCTTTGGCTATCCTGATCGCGAACCTAATTGTCATAAGAGACCACTGAAACACATCTGAGACTACTGAAGAAGAAGAGGCTAAACGCCCTATCTCTGAGTTCAGAATCTTAAGATCAGCAAGAAAACAAGCAATAACAGGAAAGGCTGACATACACTGAGTCTCAATTACAAAAGGAAGTATTCTCAAAATGTCACGGTCCAATGTAACAAAGTGTTTTAAGAGGCAGGCAACTAGACTAGCCATGGCATAAGGAATTATAAATCCTAATATTCCTATAGCTATCGGCTTCTTGCCTGACCTCAATGCCAAAGATAAGTTCATCTTCACTCCAAGCAGAAATATAAAAAGCATCAGGCTGAAGACAGATAAGTTCTCCAAAAGAACTCTGCTTCTAGCTGGAAATACTTCTGCTAGAAAATTTCTGTTGTGTCCGAGGATTGAAGGACCGAGAACCACACCTCCCTGCAGGCACAAAAAAGGCATGCATTGCATATTTAGTCAGGCTTAATTTTGTCATTAGTACTAGTAGAATCAAATCATTTAAGACAATTCCAATCTAACACATTTGCAAAGCTAATATATCTATGTGTACTGTATTTACAGAGATTTTCAATTAGCACCTAAATAAAGTTCAAGGTAACATATAAGTCTCAGTACAGTGTTATTAGTTTAGCGAAAAATAAAGGACATACAACTTCAATTCCTAGGATGTTCAACCAAACAAAACAAAAAGTTGTTTACATATTTTGGATAAAACACAATCAACTAAAATGAGAAGTATAAACTAGCAGATTTGTTTACATATAAAGGTGTGTGCAAACCGTATGATAATGAACCAAACAAAAATTTGTGTACACATTCATTTCATATACACAAAAAACTTAGTGTATGACATTGCTAAAAATTAACATAAGACCAAATCATTAAATATAATGATGCATACATATATACACACTGACCAAGATTTGAGAAACAATAGAAGGTTGTCCAAAAGGCTTGAGAAGGAAATAAGCGACACGGGTGCAAAGAGATATGATGGAAAGCTGGAGCAGCAAACCAGGTATGGTGAACCGGATAGGATCATCCCCAAAGAAGATGCCTCGAGACCCGGTTCGACCCATGGAATGACAAAGGTAGCCATTATCTAGGTGAAAGGCATCAGCTTCTATAGCTTTCTTTTGTGCTTCTAAAAACATTCTTGTAGATGTTGTTGGGGTGATCATATCATCATTATTACTATCATCTTGCATTAGCATCGCAATGGCGGCCTTACCCATCGATACCAATAACTTCTTATTATGATCACCACCCATTATCATAATAATCTTGCTATTTGGGGTTAACAAATTCCAAAAACATCTTATGGTAATTGCTAGAAATTAATGAAAAATCGAGTTTTCGACGAATGATAGATTAGGAAAGGGAGGAGCCAAAAAAGAGGAAAAGGAGGAGAAAGAGGGATGTTTAGAGAGAATTGAGAAAAAGAGATTGGTGGAGGAGCAATAGAGTTGGAATTGAAAAAGAGAAATGAGAGGGGAAGAAGGAAGTAAGGTATAAGGGAGAGCATTAATAGTTGGCATTTCTATTTATCCAAATTAAGGCATTTGTAACAAAAGAAATTATGTTATATACTCTATATTTTATTACCGGAAAAAATAACCACCATTTTTGTAAGGGTTAATAATAGAATTAGAGATTATATTTGTGATATTTCTTCCGTTTTAAAATGCAGCTTTATACGAAGTATGTTATGCATATGGTGTAATAATATGTTAAATGGACAAATGATAACGGGTGTTTATATTGTTTATCTAACACATAGTGACTATCCAAAATGTGCCCATCAAGATCAAAGAAGATCAAGTAATACTTTAGTGATTTCGATCAATATTATCGATCATTTGAGAATACGAAAATTATTCGTGATGTTATAGAAGAACGTCTCTCATGCAAGGCATAAACATGTAAGTATGTTGATGATTTTTTTTTTTTTAAACGTTTATTATGCTGCATAAAAAGTCTCTCATGACGTGGATTAAAGCATGTGATGTGCACACACCAGCTTGCATGCCACTAGATTTACATACCTTTATCTAGATACATAATTATGTTTTGATGCGCATTTGTGTTCTATCATGTTGATTTCGTATTCCTTTTGCTGATTAAGCACTTGAATATGCCCTAATTTAGCTTAGTTGACATTGATTGACAAATAATAGATGGAATATAAGAGAATTTTATATAAGTTTCATTATGTACATACCGCGTTATACACCAAATATATCTTAATTGGATACACTTGAATGTATGATAGAATTTACCTTTAGATACCATTACAGTGTTTAGTCATACACGCCATCCACTTTATTTTTGTTAAGATATACTAGCCTTTTGTCCATTTATATGCCAAATCTGAGCTATAACCAAATTTGCCTTATGGGTTAGTACTTAAACAATCCGTAACATAGACGAATCCGCATGTACGAAAATTAATTGATGTCAACCAAACAACTTATAAATAA